TCTATGCTGTACAAAGACATCATTTTGCTAGTGTTTGTGAGTCAAGAAAATCAACAAAGCCAGTCAAAACGGTTGACACAGAAGAAAAATTTGATGAAAATCCAGAGCAAGACAGTTATATCTACTGTTCTCAAGCTGGCTGCAGTCACTACACCAGTTCATGCTATCCAAAGCAAGAAACTATATCCGGATACCATGGTGCAGGTGAAGTTTGATGGGGGCACAAAATTGAGAATGCAAATTGATACAGGTGCAGATGCAAATATCATTGATGAAAGCCTCTACCACCAGCTGCACCCTAAACCGGAACTTAGAAGAACACGTCAAGCTCAAGCCGTACAACTCTCCACCCATTCCGGTAAAGGATCCTTCCAGACACAGCTAACAGCCAATGGAAAGCAGGCCATTGCAACGGTGTATGTTGTTCCAGGATCAGGACCAAAACCCCTCATTGGAAAGTACACTGCTTTTGATCTGAGTCTGCTTAGCATCACTGTGAAAGAATTAACCGCAGACATGCAAGACATGCACCATGTGCTGCAGGAAAGAAAACAGGGAAACAAGAGTGCCAAGGCCACCACTCACGTCACTCAACACATGTCATATTCAGCTATGGCAGAGCATCTCACCTCTAAAAAGTCTTCCAAACAGCGGCTGGACAATATCTACAAACATAAGCAAGATGCAACAGACAGAGTTAAGGCCATTGTGATCAATACCCTGGGGTGTTTGAAGGTATTGGCAAACATCGATACAGAGTTGTGAAGTTGTCCGTGGACAAGTCAGTACCTCCAAAAATTCAACCACAGCGCTGGATACCCTTTACAAAGAGGGAGCAATTTGAAGCCATTCTCAAAGAATTGGAAGATGCAGACATCATCGAGCCAGTGTATGGACCAACAGAGTGGGTTTCAAATGTCGTGTTGACACCAAAAGCTGATCCATCCCAGTTGCGAATGAGCCTTGATGTGACCACAGCTAACACTGCCATCCGGCGCACACGTCATGTCATCCCACATTGGAAGAACTGCGATACAAATTAAATGAAGCCAAGCATCACAAAACTAGACATGCGTCAAGGCTACATGCAGTTCGAGCTGAGCCCAGAAAGCAGATACATGACAACGTTCTACACCCATCAAGGCCTGAGGCGTTTCAAAAGGTTAAATTTTGGCACCAATTCCGCTGCTGAGATTTTCAATGAGGAAATTCGTCAAACGCTGGTGGATATTGAACATGCTGAAAACATCTATGAAAACATTATCGTGTTTGGAAAATCTCAGAAAGAACATGATCGAGCACTTATGCAAGTATTACAGCGCCTTGATGACTGCGGTCTAACACTTGGAATGTCAAAGTGCAGTTTTAACCAACCAGAAATCAAGTTTTTTGGCATGACTTTCTCATCAGCAGGAATGTCACCATCACCTGACAAAGTACAGGCTCTACATGATGCCCAACCACCCGCATCTGCAGCTGAAGTTCGATCCTTCTTGGGAATGGCTAATTTCAGTGCTCATTTTATTCGCAACTACTCTGCTCTTACAACCCCGTTGCGGTTGCTCACTAGAAAGAATGTTACTTTCAACTGGACCAATGATCGTCAAAATGCTTTTCAGTCAATTAAAGAGGCCCTCTCACAAGACACCACAATGGCATACTTTGACCCAACACGAGAAACAAAGCTCATTGTAGATGGCTTCAAATATGGCTTCTCTAGCATCTTGACACAACTTGAGCCCCAAACACAACAATACAAAGTAATCAGATACGACAGCAGACCGACAACAGACACTGAGAGTCGCTACTCACAAATTGAAATTGAGAGTGCTGCACTAGCATTCGCCATGCAGAGAAACCATATCTATCTACATGGCCTTCAAAATTTCATTGCAAGCACAGATCACAAGCCTTTGTTACCCTTGTACAACCAGTACAAGGCAGAACTTCCGGCACGAATCCTGCGGGACAAGTTGAAGCTGCAAGATTATAGCTACACACTAATTCACAAGCCGGGGAAGACAAATCCAGCTGATTATCTTTCCCGGCATCTAGTTGTCTTAGCTGATGTGTGTACCGTAACAAAGAAATCCATAGAAGAGGATATGCTATACATTGATGCAGTTGTCCGAGCCAACCTTCCCAAGGCTGTAACAAAAGAACACACGGTAAAAGCTACACTAGAGGATGAAACATTGACAGTTCTCAAAGAAATGATCTCACAGGGATACATCAGCAAAGAACAGAAAAAGAGATTGGCTTCATATGCACATATATTTCCAGAGCTTTCAGTAGTGGATGGCCTAGTGCTCAGAGGTAGAGCCACTCAAGCCAACAGAACTACCCACAGATCCATGGTCTAAACTTGCAACAGACCTATATGGTCCATTAGACACTGGTGAATACCTGCTGGTTGTACAATGCCTGTACTCCAGATTTCCTATGGTCGAAATCGTGCGTTCAACTTCTGGTACAGCAGTCATACCAGCAATGGACAAAATTCTCTCAACATTAGGAATCCAAGATGAAATAGCAAGTGACAATGGGCCACCATATAGCAGTGAGGAATTCAAATCGTTTGCAAGATGGGTTTTGAGCACAAAAAGAAAATACCATATGCACCATGGGCCGAAAATTTTATGAAAAACCTAGAAAAAATCATTCGCTCCTCCACAGAAGAGCGTCTAAACTGGAGACAGGAATTACAGAAATACCTGAGGGCCTACAGAGCTACTCCACACACAATGACAAAGCATTCTCCAGCCAGTCTCCTTTTCAATGGACGAAGGTACAAGATCAGTGGTGCAGCGTCAGTGATGCCCTCAAATTCCATCACCAGTTCTAGGTTTTCTATCCAGAGTTTCCATCGGGGTTCTTGATTGCTACCAGCATCTTGTTGCACATCTGGATTAAACTCCGTTACGCACGCGTCTTCCAGCACCTACCAGTAAGAAAATATTGCTTTATGACAGAGAGGTGCGTACAAAGGATGCTAGGAGCAAAGAAACAATGAAGCAGAACGCAGACAGCAAGAGTTATGTAAAAGAACTAGATATTAAAGTAGGGGACACAGTTCTGTGTCGACAAGCGAAGCTCAACAAGAAAACCACACCTTTCAACAGCGAGCCGATGATTGTTGTGAAGAGGAAAGGCAGTTTATTTACAGCCAGAAATGCCACAAGAACCATCACAAGACATATTACATTTTTCAAGAAGCTACAAAGGCTGGATGAGAACAAGTCAAGGTGCGAAGGAGATTATACCACACAGCCACTTTCACCTGACACTGATGAAAGAGAAGAAAATGTCATTCCACCAAATGAAGTGCCAATAGAAAGACCGGTGAGAATAAGACAAGCTCCTGCTAGATACAGAGATGAAAACTTTCAGACTGAGTTTTAATCTAACAATGCAACAGACACAATAGAACCATGTTATCTGTACTTTATCAATAATGTTATGTTATGTTTTGTTTTGTAATTAGGGAAGGAATGTTATGTTCTAAACGAGGCTGTTTGATTATGAGGTTAATATGATGTAACATCGAAGTGACAGAAGCACGTCTTTATATGTGTGTTACTCTTTGTCTAATTGTGGACTCTTCATGCACTACGACATTTATTTAGTCATTTTGGTCTACCATATCATATCGTCACGGATAATGGAACACAATTTACTAGTAATGAATTTGGAACATTCCTACGTTTGAACAACATACTTCACACAAAGACAGCACCTGCGCATCCAGCAACGAATGGACTAGCCGAACGCTATGTAGGACATTTCAAGACAAAAACTACACAGATGAAAGTAAGTAATGAAGCATTACGAGTCAGATTGGATAAGTTTTTATTCACGTATAGAGTAACGCCTACAACGATTGGAAAGTCACCTGCAGAGCTGTTAGTGAATCGACAACCCAAGACAAGATTCGATTTACTAAGACAGAAGAGTTACCAAGACACAAAGCAACAAGTCAAGATTTTCCAAGATAACTCGGAGTTCAAAACTGATTTCAAACCGAGTCAAGCTGTATTTGTTTTAAATATTGGTAAAGGGCAAAGTGGTTACCTGGATAAATTTTGAAGGAGATTAGCCCAAGAAATTATGAAGTCCAAGTCGAGAACATAGTTTGGAAAAGACACTGCACACAGATTAGACCAAGGTACATTCCAACTAATTTAAAGTGGACCTAAACTCTGTACGTTTAGGGTCACCTTGGGTAAATCAAGGGTCCTAAAAATGAGTAAATTATTTTTTAGTGCATTCCATATTTGTGAAAGCCCCCATCATGGCTCCCAAAGTTGTAGAACCCTTCCTATATGACCGCGCAGGAAAGAAGCATGGGCTCTAATCAGTCGATGACGTCCGCCCAGGATCACACAATAATTTTTTGCGCGTTTGAAAGTGCTTAGTCATTAGTCACGATATTCGGTGTGAAAACAGTGGAAGTCCTCGATTTTTTCTTTTTGACGGAATTCTAACAAATATCTCAAAAATGTCTTCAGATGAGTCTGAAAGTGACAGGCAAGGAAGTGAATTCGAAGATTTCGCAAGCTTTTTGGAAGACATTGACAAGCTTGGCCAAGATTTTGCGTCTGCCTACCTTGACGAGCCACTGGCTGATGAGGAATACATGCGTCGGTTCAATCAAGAAACGGCAGAAAGAGTGCAGAAAGAAGAAAAATTAAAAAAAAGATTTGAAAATGCTTTCGATTTAGAGAATTGGTAGGTGATCTAAATGTTCTTCTGTAGAACTAGCAAGCAACATGAAAGCAAAAGAAGGGGCAAGGCATATTAATGGAATAGGCCTGCATTCAATAGGCCTACAATTCTTTTGTGCCCCAAGAGCGGATTTGTTCTGGTGTTAACCACAGCTTCCCAATTTGATTTTCTTTTCCTACAATCAACTTTTCCAGTTTTACCCCTGCAAACCCTCTCAATTTTTTCCCCTCTGGTTAGTTTTCTCTGATCCTCGCTTTCACTGACTTTCAGACCCCCGTTCTTGAGGTTTGTCCCGTCATTTTTGCTAGTGTTTTTTGTTGGGGAAACATTATTTTGAAATGAATATTATATATATATTTCATTTTTCAAGATTTTTTCATTTATAGGTGTAAATGCGGTCATTGCTCAGTGAAGCTACTTCAAAATCCCGAGGAATTCCTGTGCTGCCAAGAATTGGAAGGCTACATAGAAGCATTGCAAAGTGAGGAGGTGCAGAGAGATATTGCTGGGGAAATGACTTGTGTCACTGACCATCCAGGTTTCGCAGATGTCTGCCTTAAAAAATGGTGCTTGAAGCAAGCTGCTGACAAATATAAGACAAGAGCAGGACAAAAGTATGACAAATCAGGAAAGGAAAAAAGGTCTGTACAGTTTAGGGAGACAAAGTTCCATAAAAATAATAAGTGTTTCTTAAAAAAACAAATAAAAATGCACAAATTATGTTACAATGTGAAAAATTTGTTACAAGTATTTATCTTCAGTCGAATCTGTTAACACAGTGAATACTGAATTATGAATGTTTTTCCCTTGATCATGTACAACAGGGGGGCTTTTGATAAACAAATAAAGGGCACTATAACAATTTCTCCATAACATGATTACAAGGCTCTTACGCATGAGTGTAATACAATCTTGTGACAATGAACAATTAATATTGTATTGTATTTTATAATGATTCTACATCCAATATCTCAAACAGATTTATTTTTATCTTGGTTGCTGAGAAGTGTCTCCCATTGAGAGTTTACACGCCTTATATATGGAAAATTGGGTAACAAACGCATTCCTTGGCCTGCATGTGCATATGATGCAATAAGGACAACCTTTCCAGTGGATGGTCCATTAACAGGTTTCACTGAAGAAGATGAACTCATGTAAAGAAATACTTTGAATTGGTATTGGTAGGAACAAAATAGAGAAGGATGTGATACATATTGCTAAAACACTTGGAATCTGCTAAAACATACACAAATATCTTATTTATAAAAAACCACTTATGAGAAGCTCAACTCAAGATTGCCAAAAATTAAGAAACTCTTAAATCCATGTTTTGTCTTTTCGCTTGTTTCCGCTATCAAATTACCCAGAAAGTACTTGCACCTCTCAAATCAGCCATCTGGCCCCCTCTAGGGGGGCTTATTGATCTAGGCACCCTTTATTGGGCTTTTATAAATCATCTATAAGTGGTCATACAAGACCATTTTATTTGTAATTGTACTTGATAACTTTTTACAAGTTATGTGTTTATATCATTCAAAATTATAAATTAAAACTAAAAAAGATATTTCTGTCTAAAACATTAGTATTTTTATTGCCTTTTCATCATCATCATCATCATCATCATCATCATCATCATCATCATCATCATCATCATCATCATCATCATCATCATCATCATCATCATCATCATCATCATCATCATCATCATCAATTTTTCATCTTTTGGTTTTCCACCTTGTGTTTTACTTCTCCACAAAAAGGGTCCATTGCTACTTTTTTTCATTGGGCAGTCAACATCTTTGCGGCCACGCATTCGGTGCTTGCAGGTCAAACAATGGGGTGGCGCTCTTTGCTTTTTTGAATTCTGATGGTCTATCAGATCCGGATCTAAAAACAAGTTCAGAATTTTTAAATTGCTTAAAATCCAATTCTGTACGCTTTTTCTCTAAAGATTCAGATATTAAATAGGTAAAAAGGCATCAAATTTCTGTATCTTTCCTGGTATCAATAAAATCATATGATAACTAGTAAAAATCTGGACAAACTTTGACTAGATTTTACAGAGAAATTATTTACTTGCAACATTAGAAACATGTTTTGAATTATTACAATTTGGATTAATCTTTTTGAAAAAAGTTTTCATTTTCTAATTTTGATATTGAAGTGTAATTACCAGCTGTAGGTGGGACGTCTACAATTGTCATTTCTGCTCTTTGCTTTCTTTTTTCAACTGCTTCAATGACAGGCTGTTTTGTGAGCATTAAGTTCATTTCTTTCAATATATTTTCAGCCCATTTTAGCTGTTCTCCATTCCCACTTATTATAATTTGAAAAATATCCTCGACATAGCCTGCAATAGAATTTGCATTTGTATTCAATCAACTATTCTATATCAACTTCCATATCATTGTAGTATGCATTGTAATAGCTTCAGTTGTGGACAGTGTCTTACTGTATAAGTTTTCTTGTTAACATAGGAATGCTAATGTTAGTGATTCAAAGAACGAATGATAAACCTAGCAAGCATACCAAAATTTTGTGTCACACGAACTTCTTTTATGATAGCTTCACCATTCTTGAACTTTGGGTAGGACACTTTAATGAGCGCTGACCCATCTTGTTTTTTCTTTACCTCGCAATGAACATTGTTGTTAAAATGAATGGATGCTAGTAGTGTTCTGCAGAAGATAGTATAATGTCTAGATGTTTTTATATCTAGATTGGCAGGATAAGTAATATTTGCTGAGAATTTTTTACATGATGATACACAATCTTTAGCCAAATGAAACTGTTAATTTTCCAAAGTGAGCATTCCTAGGCAGGAAAACCAAGCACACAGTACTGTGTAAAAATAAAATGATAGAGTAAAAATATCTTGAAATATGGAAAATGTGCCTAAGGAAATCATACAGTTGAACAAATCTAAACATTTTCTCAGAATAGATCTTTAGGGCAAGTTTGCAATTTTTTTAGGCAAAGGGTTTAGATTACCAACCTGCAATATATTCCTGGATATGTGTATGCAAACATCTTGGGGGCAAAGTGGTTATCTTCAGAATGATATCCCTCTAGGCAGCTAGTCTGAGCAAGTGGTGAAACTTGCTTAATACCATTCATCAAACTTTGATTCAGTAGAGAGCTTACGATTCACGACGACGATCAATAGGACGACCCAAAGTAGCCTGGATCTAGCGCGATCCTCCAAGGAAACCCCCATTTCTGGTCGTAGTGAAATCGAAGAGGCCGAGATTTTCCGGATTCATCGTTGTCTTAGATCTGTGAGTATGCATTATATTTTTATAGGAATATTTTCGCTTAATCGTTTTGTTTCAATAATATATCAAAATGAGCTTCAACAAACTTTCATCAGAAACTTTTCATTTTTTAGAACACGTTGTTTCTTTGCTTTATCAAACGCAAGATGAGCGCATCAAATGAGAAGAAAGCAAGCCGAATTCAAATGTTAGTTCTTATCAGTACGAATTGAAGAATCGATATAGAACATTGATTTCTTGCTTTTAATGTAAATGTGTGTTAGTTTATGTATTTCTAAACACTTTGCAGATTTTATAGCCCTCTTCCGTCGAAGGGAACTTTCCGTAAATTTCTTATCAAAGTAGCAGGCCTATCATGTGTCTATCCGAACAAGGAGAAGATATCTTAACGTTTATTTCTAAAAAATATCTATTTGTGACAGGTAGACTATCAAAACTGATGTAGTTCTTGTTTTGTGTAAATTATTATGCTAGTAATTCAATCTCAAAATTTCCTTTGAGCCTTCGATGTATAAGATTACGACATTTTAATTGAACAATGTATATACATTTAACTTTATTTTTGGATATTTTGAATCCTTTGGCATTAAAGTTTGTATAAAATTATGAATATTACTGGCAAAAAATGTCTATGTTTCTTGCGCTTTTCTTATTTATTTTAAAGCTAAATTTCGCTTAGGCCCAAGATGAGTTGGACAACTGCACATGATGTTGCATTATGCCGTGAGATTCTTGTTCTGGAGCCATATAGATTTAAAGTGGGTAGTAGAGAAAGGGGCCAATGCTGGGATTCAATTGCAGAAAATTTGAGTTCTTTAAGTTACCCAAAGTTTTCTGTGGACCAGAGGGCAGTAAGAGATAGATTCTCAAAGTTGGAGAGATACTATAGAAAAAGAATGGCTAGCGAGGAACGAGCAAGTGGGATATCCCCAGAAATGACAGAGCTTGATGAAGCCCTAGAAAATATTATTGAAATGATGGAGGAGGCAGTGAAAACTGGGAGAGGAATTGAAAAGAAGAGGGAGGAGAATGAGAAGCAAGTCGCAGAGAATGTTAGAAAGCGCTCAATGGAAACATTAGCAGAGACATTAGAGAGAGAGAAGGAAGGAACAGGAAAGAAGAAGAAGAGACACTATTATGGCTCAGACACAATTGAGTATTTGAAAGAAAAAAATGAAAGGGGGAAGCATTTTATGGAAAAGAAATTGGAGTTGAAAGAAAGAGAACTGGATGTCAAAGAGAAGGCCTTGAAAATAAAAGAAAAGGAAGTAGAGGGGAAACTACAATGTTGCCAAAGGGAGGAATGGCAAAATAATATGCTGCTGCAGCTTGAGGAGAAAGTCAATTTTTTGAATCAACAGCAGCAACAGCAGCATATTATTTTGCAGGAGATCAAAGAGCAAAATTCTAAGATAATGAATTTAATTAAACAAAGCTCTTCAGACTAGTAATTTTGAGGTATTTTTTTAAAAACATTTTATTGACCAAAATTTGAAAATTCAAATATTACCCACTCCAATGAAAGCTTAGAATTGGTTAAAAATTGGGTGTCTATGAAGTACCATTGGTGTCTCCATCTTCTTACCATATTTTCAGAAGTGCATGGCTTAAAGTTTGTTGCTCTCATGGATTTCTCTAAAAATGCAAATGCCTACAATTAACTTAAATACTAAGGGTTGAATCACTGTGGCTTCCATTTGAAAATTCCATTTATCTGCCAAAATTTCTCTTCTATTAATAAGCATGATTTTTATAATAAAATTTTGCTTTTTATTGAGAGCAGTAGCTACTTGAGAAAACATGTTAATTTACTTATATTCTGAACTTTTTCCACATTACAACTTTCAGCCTTTCAGCCTGTACTTTTTTCCAACAAGAAACATCAAAATTTTTTGAAAATCATTTGCAAATAGCAATGCTCAAACCTTAATAACATTGATTGCAGTATTTTTTTAAATTTAAGATAGTTTACAATCTATTGACCTTTGCTGTGTTGTTACTTGTGAAAATTACTGTGCACAAGGCTGTAATAAGAGTGCTTGGTACTATATCAACAGAGCTTTTTTTGTTTTTGCCTGAAACTAGGAGTTGCAACTTGGAGCTGTCCTCTTCTAAGCACTAAAGTATGTTATTATTTCGATGAAATGTAGTCATGAAAGCTGTCAAAACCGTGTGCATAACTGAGTTTGAAATAAATGGCCAAGTGGTAGTTTTTAAAAAAACTTTTTTGGTTTTAAATTTGCTGGTCTCCTTTGGCATATTTATATGAAATAATCTCCAAGTGCAGGAGGCTGGAGATTAAAATATTCTGAGGTACTTGATCCATACAAGCAGGTATTGGCATTACGAAGGAGAGCACTGACAATGTAGAACTGACCCACAGGACTCAACCCAATTTTCTGATTTTTCTTGAAGTCCATGAATTTAAAACTATTGATGATATCACCAAAAATCCATTCAACTGACACCCTAACTCTGCTCATGGACTGATTGAATGCATGCTCTTCTGGTGTCAGGTAAGGTCTTCTAGGAAATGGGCGTTGTAAATGAACCCTGTGGGGGTATGCCGGATCACCATACAGACATAGTGCTTGACCTTCTGGGGAGAAAGAATACTCTGCCAGTTGAGGTAAAAGCCCAGACATTGCAAGCAAAGCACTGTCATGACGCCTTCCCTCTACAGGACCAAACAGGTTGGCAATCAAACCATTTGGTGCAACTACCGATTGGAATTTGATTGCATGGACCCTTTTGTGACCGTTGTAAACAGCCCTTTGATTTTGTTTCGGCCTGCATATGGGTCTAACTGTCCCGTCAATAAATCCCCAGCAGTTATCTAAAGCAGCACCTGTCTGGTGAATTGCATCTGCATAAGCCTTCAAATTGGCTCTAGAAAGCCAAGGTTGGTCTAAGTTTCGGAGAAGATAACCAAATCGTGTGTGCAGCATGCCAACAAGCTTGTTGGAAATCATGCTCAACTGGGGAACTGGTCGTCCAAACCTTGGAATTAAATCGCCATATCTGCAAGGATATGAAAGGCGACGAAGGAGAATACAGAGAGCTTCAACGGAGTCAAAAACAACACCATTGTAGACTCTAATCTCTGGTGGCAGATGAAGTGCATCTAGCAGGGTGTAAACATCTTCTTTCTTAAATCGAAACTCTGCCTTGCATTCATCATCATCCATTTGCTCCAAATCAAACCTTGCGTAATGCCAATACGGAAAGTATGGATTCCTTCGGACATTTCTATCTGCCAGGAGAAGTAACTCCTCATCATCGATGAGACCAGCATCATTGTAGGCATAGAGAATTTCATTCACTCGATCTACGTTAGCCATGTTGACTTTGAGTCGTCGTAGTGAGATTTCGTAACAACAACAAAAACAAAATGGGACACTACTGGGACGATGTGACCGCGCTAGTTTACAGGCCCCCTGTGAGTCGTCGTCTTGGAAAATCGTAAGCTCTCTAGTAACTCTTTCTCAATACGCTCATAAGCTGGTGAATATGTATTAAAAAATTGACATATCGGTTTTTTAACCAAACAAATAATTTTTTGATATCTAAATCATGATCATGTTGCTCACACGTGTGATGTCAAATGATTGCAGGTTTTGGATGTTGATACTTGCTAATTACATGAGGGACAACAATTATTTTTGCCAGCTTGAAACGTCTATTGTTTATTGCCATTGTTTTTTAAACAGAGAGTGACTGCATTCACACACCAGTTATTGTCTACAACCATGGCAATCATCACAAATCTAGAATCACAAAAATGTATGCATTTTTCTAAAACCTAAAACATTAATGACATTAAGCTTCAGTCATTAAACAATTACCAACCAGGTTTTAGCCATTTTCTCTCAGATATGTTACCATCATGAGCACACTTGTTGAATATTGGGTCATTAAACCCTGTGTGTTTATTTGTAATGTGGCACAAAATAGATTTGAATTTTGCCCATATTAGACGACCATCACCATAGCTGGTTGTCAGTGCTGACCGAAACAAATGATTCTCAATGGGCCTGATCCATTCACCAATGATTTCCATATCTTTCTCTTTTGCAGCCTTTTGACAAAACTTTTGGAATTTCTGAAAGATGTTGAAAAAAATAGAGGATATGCATTTCAACCAATCAAATTCACAAGAAACAGGCAATGTTTTAACCTTAAAGGGGCTGGCTAGTATACAACAGTCTTGGTTCAAGATGTAGACTGTGCTATGATGTGTAGCTAAAGGAATTGGAAGGAACAGTAGGGCATCACAGTACATATGAGACATGAAAAATCAATCAAAAAAGGTATCTCAATCAGGATAACATCCTGGGTCCAATAATCCAAGTCTTCTGTCTACTCATGAAAGAAATGACACATGTTTTCACTCACTTTTTTTTATATGCCACAGGTCAAAATAGTGTTTTATGACCTTGTGTTTTTCCCGCATGAACTTGGCAATAGTTGAATGCCTGTCTGTTATTAGTTCAGATACATCCAGTCCTTTTTTCAGAACAAAGTTTAGTGCCTTTTCAAATCCAAAAAATTCAATTCCAGTACTGCTGCCAGCTTGATTTCGAATTTTAAAAATATTTGACTATCACAACTAAAATATCAATCTTAGTTTGGCTTCAAAGCTGGACAGCCAAAATTGAAGAAAGTATGCTGAAAAAATTCACTGGGACCTGATAAATGTAATTGTTTTTTGTGTAAATTGCAGTCAGAGCCAGTTTTTTCTAATTCTAATCTGCTTTCGAATTAACGCTTTTAACCATTAAATTATTGGTAAGTCTTACCTGTACTACTTCAGAGTGAACAATTGCATTCTCTGAACATGAGTATAGTGAATAAATCCCATATTTGACACTATGGCCCATGCTATCATGCCTAGAATCACCCGCAAGCACAACTTTCTGGTTTTGTTTGACCTTTTCAATAAGCTTTTCTTGATACTGCTTCCAGTATTTGAAGATACCAGGAAAGAGTTTTGTCTGCAGAAAAAAGTTAGAAATCTAAATTATAAGTGAACTATTACAGTGCTAGCTAGAACAACATTTCTACAATTTCATATCACCAGATTGTTGGCCAAAATGGACTCATACTGTTAAAAACTCCATATGTTTGCTATTATAGGTGCTCTATATTTCATTGGAGAGATATTAGGGCAGATATATAAATATATGAAAATTGACCAATCAGCTGTGTTGTAATAGTGCACACAGGTACATACCCTTTGATGCTTGAAGTAGCTAGCAAATGAAATGCAACCAATGCCAATTGAACTGAAAATCTGCTTATTGACCCTCCAGAAATCAATGTGCCAAAACAGAGAAGGAAATTTCCAGCAGCTGATCTCATTCCAGGCATCATAGGTTGGCTATGCCAGCGATATTCTCTGCCACACACACCACAAAGCGATGTCAGTATCACAATTGTTCCTGAACATGTGGCCTCCACTAACGGTTTGTCTGCCTTGCACAGATGATAAATGTTAAACAGCAACATCAGTTTTGACAAAAATGTTATGAACTTTGGTTGCTGTCTAAGGTTTCCTTCTGCATAACTTGTCTGTGAAAATAAATGGTAATGCAGGCTGGATGAACTTGTATGGCTAAATGAAATGGTTGCTATACAAACACTTGTATATACATTCTGTTTCTAAAAATGTTGTAAAATAAGTTGAAATAATGGAAATGCAATGTATCTTGTCCTGTTTATGACACATCATTTAAAAAAGCATAAATAGAATTTATGCTCTAAAATTTCAACAATGTGATGAAATTTTTAGAGATTGGTACAAGAATAATCATATCTTTATAATTTCTTGTACAAACAATATTATATTTGATATCAAACCTTTTGTTGCCTTGTTGAAGTTCAATGTCATCATCCTCACTGCTAGTTATGGTTGGGATAAATTCATCATCAGATTGAATATCTTCCATCTCTGAAGACAGTGAATCAAAATCATCTTCATCTGAAAACTCATCGGGAGTTGTATGAGAAGATGTCACATCTAGCAATGGCTTTTTCTTAGGTGACCCTTTTCTCTTGAATTTGGCTGTCAAAAAGTTGATTAGCACATAAGATGTTCTGTCATATCATAAATTTCTAACATAAATAAGCTTTTTCAAAATAAGCAGAAAGGCTCCCCATTTATATTGGTAATGTAATACATTGTAATGGTGTTACATTACCAGTATAAAATAATGCATTGCTCTCTTTGTTTTGTAAACAAAGACTGAACGATCAGCAGCTGCTTCCTAAAATCCTACACAGATACACATTTTACATAATATGCCCCAGTACTTATTGGCTAGTTTGTATTTAAGACGTCTATTCTCTTTCTGTGCTTTTTTAAACCGAAGTCTCCAATCAATAATTTTGTTGGTTAGTTCTCTGATTTCTTCAGATTTCTTTTCACAGTTTTCACATTTATTATTTGAGCAGCGTGTTTCTTTTTCTTGTACCTAAGAAAGAAAGTAGTAATAGAAACATTTTTACAGCACTACCATAAAAATAAGGAATAAGGAACAGGCTAAAAAAGAAACTAGTAGTAGGATGGCTAATAATTTAAGAAACTCTGGTACAATGTTTGAGAAGTGCCAAGAAACTGTGGCAGACACAAATAAAAAAAAAAATTAAGAAAGTTCAAATACATTCCAATAGGCTGATCAGAGTTTCTAATGAACTAAAATGATGTATTTTTCAGTAATTCTGTTAATTCAGTAATTCATTCTAAAAGTTTCAAATTTCCATATCTTGTTCAAATATGTCAACCTCTCTTATTAGCTTTATTCTTCTGTATATTCAGGCCTTGAGAAAGTAACTGTTTGCATACCAATGACTCAATCGGCAAATACTCCTCATTGAAAATATTTTCACCATCTTCCCTCCAACTTGGACCAGCAGCAGTTTCTCTTTGCACCTCTATCTGCAGTTCTCTTGGCTTCCTAGTCTTTGTGCTAAAAGATATTACGTGAGACACGATAGGCCCAGCAGGTTCGTCGCCCTTTGCATTGAGGAGTTCGCGTATAACTGAAAGTGAAGATATGATATGAGTTATTTCAAATAGATAGAATTGTCAAGCTACACAGAAATGTTTCGGAGTAAAATGTTTCGAACAAATCACGGATCCCGCGGTGTCTGTCCATTTTGCCCTGGACAACTTGAAGAATTCGATCCATCGCTTCCTCCTCTTTATGGCCTCTGGACGTGGATCTCCATATTAAGGGATCTTGTGCAGCAATATGCCCTTTTGCTTATCAGGGAAGCTATCGCATCGTCCCACGACACATCTGTTTGGAATTTTCTTCATTAAAGACAAGCAAAATCTTTAATCTCCTCCTGCAACACTCGAATACCAACAGCTTCAACCTATGGTTTCCCTTTTCTGTGCGAACGTCATTACAATTGTTTGTACCAGCCCCCTACTGGTCAACCTCCTTGCGCGGCCGTGAACGAAAAGTTTCTCAAAAAAGCGCGAATATTCGAAACATTAAAGATTCCATACAGGCCAACCAGAATCAGAAAATGCAAAAAAGCTAATTCAATATCCTCAACATACGTATATCTAACCATTAATATAAAACTGTGCAAAGTGCAGGTCCACTTTAATAGACAGGAGAAAAGAGGAAGTTCTACCAACAGAGATTCCATCTACAACAGAAGAAAAAATTCCAGCACCTGCACCAGCACAGACCGAGTACCAAACCTATCATGTCAACACCTACAACACCTACATTGAAAGAAAGGAAGGGTAAGGAAATGACAACTGAATAATTGACGGAATCGAAAAATGAAACAACAACTAACATGAAAGAAATTGCACCCGAACCAAGATACCATCGCAGAGAAAGAAGAAAACCAGACAGATTGGTGATTGGACATTGAATTAATAATATTTGTTGTGATAACTTTACTGATTTAAATTGTGTTATTGTTTTTTTCATTTTGAATAAAAAGAAAGACGAACATTGTGTGGAACATTTAAAAGGGGGAGATGTTGTCATGTATTGTTTTAGTCAAGTTTTAAAAGTCCTTAGGGAATCAAATTTGTATTAAGTTCGAGTGACTGAATTGAAGATGAGTTGTTTACGCCAGAGCTAGGCCCGTTTACTGCGTGAGATCTATTCAAAATGTTTATTCTAAATGTTTGTTTGAATCTCTTTTCACTGTACTCTTCCTACACCATCTTTAAACACCCTGTATTTGCCCTTGAAAGTCTTCAGCAAGATGGATAATAAAACCCGTGCTGTGTTCTTGCCCTGCGGCGCTAAAAGGATCATTATACAAGTTTTAATAAAATACGTCTTCTTACAATCACAATATAGTGCTTGTTCTATCATTTTCCGTCTATCTTTTGATAATATGCAATAACATGACGCTGTGTACATTATTTATTGGCGCCATTTTGCCACGGATTTCAACAAGATAAACACAAAGTCAATCGGAACAAATTCTGGGAGAGCTAAGTACTTATGAAAGTTTTTAAGAAACTGTTATCTAGATGACAGACAACGGATTAGAAGTGTTTTAAACAATCTGAGGGAAGACGTAATAAAGCTGGTTGTGCTATAAGCAGGGGCGGATCCAGACAAAAATTTGACATTCTCAAAACCCATTATGACCGAACGACCACGCCCATTTCCCGGAAACGCCCAAAAAATTGTTATCTGTCTTTTATGGATGCAATGATTAAAATTATTGAAATTTTAAGAGGATAAATAGAAACAAACAATAAGAAGTGGCAGACACCCAGGGGGGATGAAGGGAGGTAGTTGTTCCCCAACATTTTGAGAAGACAGAGGTCTTTTATTCTAAAAAGAATGGACAAATGTGATGTCATCTTATCAAAAAATAGGCTTGCCCCCTCATATTATTGCCCAAAAAACAACAATGATGCAACATTAAAGAATTACTTAATAAGCATAGCTACACTAGTAATTGAAAATTGGGTAATGCAGGGAAAATAACACAAAGATCAAGACAAAATGTGTATGGCAAATTGTGCTTGGTTTTCTAATGGTTAAATATGTAAAATTTTATAGAAAGAAGTGTAGTTTTTTGGACGCACAAAACTCATCATAGAAGAGAATTATTAACGAAAGTTGACCAATGAAATTACTAAAAATGCAGGCACTTTCAGAGTATACAAGCCATAGAAACTTGGACAAAGAAATGGGCAAAAACCTTTTCTAGTAACAAAAGTAGACTGCTAAGGCTAGTCAACTTCTTTCGGGATGCTAACTCTCTTAAATGCATCATATCTTTTGGCATATGATAATTGCACTGCTTTAGAGTAAAATATTTCTGCATCAAAGTCAAAGTCTGTATATCTGTTTCAGATTTGTTGTTCATCATTTGGAAATACATGGAAAAAAAATTACATTGGGATGACTGTCTATTTAGTAGATCCATCAAATTTAAATTTGAATCTTCTGAGACCTGACACTTTATACTAAACTTCCCTTTGCTTAGCTTTCAGAGGCACTTTCTTTTGTCAAAGAAAATGAATATAATTTTTTGCCTTCATAATATTTCCTTCCACAGGAATGTTAACCAAAATTAGCTTTTTATCCAAACCATAGTTCCATCAAAACTAAGTCTGGTAATAGGCTCGCTAAAATAAGCAAACAAATGCATTTCTCATCTTTTTTCTTGTTGAAAGACTACTCCATTACTCCAACTCTTGTCATACTATATTACATCATACCAAATACTGCATTTTAACATGCATTGAAAACAGATTCTATCCGCTTTTACTGTGTGTACTAACTTAATGTAAAACATACTCTATTGGACAGCATTTCCAGTTCCTAGTACCACCTTGTTCAAATAAATATATCTCAAGATTTTGACTTCTGGTGTTGCATTCTTAATAAACCTTGTTTGTTATTGGCTTAGTATCAATAAAACAGAAAAGGAGATGCATCTCCAAAACAAGAGTGCAGTGTATGACAATAGGCCCATGTAGCTCATATGATTAACCACATAAAATTTCCAAAGATGCAACATGTCAAATGGTTTCAAAATAGAACACAACAGCCCACCATAGCATAAAACTTTTCACCAAAGGCTGTGACAACAAATCCTATTCTGTTTGGTAACAATATCAGTAACAAGACTGTAAGAAAGTAATGACTTCTCTAACTGTTAAAATCTCTCTTAACTTTTTTACAGCTAATTCTTTAAATTAAATTACAGCAAAAGTGAAAATCAACTTGCAAATAAATAACATGTTATCTAAAACAAATTAAATATCTATTCAAACAAACTAAAATGTATCCATAAACATTATATTACAAAGATAGGCAACCATTTAATCATTGAATGAATATTCTAGTTCTAGTTAAATTCAGAACAGTGTAATTTTTGTGAATTCTACATTTAAATCACAATACACAAAAACAGAAAGAAAATGATAAGGTATCGGTGTTGAATTAAGTATTTTACAAGCATCCAGAGGGGCCAGTCTGCAAACAAAACAAACTTTTTGTAGAATTTACCACCTGAGCTTCTAGGCCCAGTAGCAGCAGCACAAAATGAACCCCTATATAAAATTTATCAGCAGTACCTCAAAGTCTGACCCTCTCTCTTTCAACAAGGTTCAGTCAGCAAAATGAAAGAATTCTTTTGCCACAATAAATGTCGAAGGTTGTGTGTTACGATCTGGTTCTGGCGCCTAGCCCTCCCGGCAGACTTGTAAGTAACCATTCCCTAGTCAGCGAAAAAAATACTCCTCGATGGTATCCAAAGCACAATCGGTCAATAACTGTTTCAATTCTTCCAATACATCCATACTTGCAAGTTGCAATGGGTTCTTGTGAAATTATTCTCTAATCAAGCACAAACACATATCATTACTAAGCACTGCCACTGCCACTGTAGTCTCTTGAAGCCACTGTAGATTCTTGATCACGTGAAGTTGGTGTTCCCTGTCAAATTTAGCTACTTTGTGGACCAGCCCACTAACTTCTCAAGATTCTCAAACTGCGACGTAGGCAAGACCTCATAAAATATATGTTAAACATATGCCAGATATACCCTATTAAAAGTGAATGGGTTTAATACGTCATTCTGGCGAATTTTCCTCTCGTTAAAATCTTTCAGGTCGACCTCTTCTAAGGGACAAAAATGAATTGAAATTCTCTGCGTGCGCATGCAGAAACTGCGTGCAACTTTCTAAAAATGCGAAGGAACTTCTCAAAATGCATGGCAACAGTCGATAAACTTTCTAAAAATCATGCCTAGATACAGGACGCGGCGCAGCCTCTTACTACTCTCCTGGGTACTAGGTTCAATGAAGGAGAATTTGGTTTTTCATCGGAGAAGATCTAAAAATGTTTCGCAAAGACAAAACGGAGTAAAATATAGCAAATACGGCGATTGTGTAGAAATAAATACCTGAAATACATAATAAAAAGATGTATGCTTATCTTGAATCTTAAATCTGAGCTCATTCATTACTTTTAGCATTTTATTTAGAATAATCAAACTGGGAAAATCTGACATTCTAAATTGAGAATGTTGAGAATGTCTCGATCCGCCCCTGGCTATAAGTTCTGTACTGTGCAAACTGGGTGTCTTTTGCGCATGGCTCGATTCTATGGTTTCTCACTCGATTCTGCCCACTCTGTCAAAAAGGCTATTTTATTTTATTTTATTCGACACATTAAATTGGACGTTTGACGTGACGCCTTCTTCGAACCGCATACAAGTCGAATAAAATTGCATTGTTTTCGACACATGTAAAATGCGACGTTTGATTTAGGCCTGACTAATGCTCCCGCGATCCTGCGATTGCTCTGAGGGATCCTTGGGTCAAACTCGTTTTCATATACGTTTTGTATTATTTTACGGAATGAAAGCTGGCGAGATCTATGAATGTAACCAATATCTCCATAGGAAATGACCAAGCCTTAAAATTTCTTACAATCCATTACTACGAAAAAAGCTGATTTTATACTTTTTTGAGGAATCCTATAGAGGCAAACAGGTTTTCATTTGATTTTTGCATTTAACCAGATACTTGAATCATGCTCATCCGCAAGTAAGCATTGAGTGCGCGCACCCCCGCAGTTTCTTCCCGAATCTGACTAAAGCATATGCTTTAGTTGCATTATTCTGGATCCGCCCCTGACTCCCAGAATCGATAAAGACATTTCAGAATACTATACAATTCAAGAATTTGATCAAAACTTGGTTCCTTGAAAATAGGTGCGCGTGCCCTATCTTTGAAATTCCGATGACTTTGATTACAAAGGCCTTTGATGCTGTAAATCATAGCATTTTGCTTTCCAAACTCGAGCACTATGGAATTAGAAAGAAAGCACTTGGGTGGTTCAAATCATATCTTACAGACAGAGCACAGTTTGTAGAAATTCAGTGCCACTTAAGATAACATGTGGTGCTCCCCAGGGATCAGTGCTAGGACCATTGCTTTTTCTTTTATACATCAACCATTTACCAAGAGTATCAAAACATTTAAAATTCTTCCTCTTTGCTGATGACAAAAATATCTAATTTGAATCAGAAACACTTGAAAAGCTTACTAAGAAGGTTAACAAAGAACTAAAATATGTCAACTGTTGGCTTGATGCTAATAAACTCTGTTTGAATATAAGTAAAACAAACTTTATAATTTTTCATTCTTCCTCAGCCTCATTACTACTAGACATTATAATCAAAATCGGTAAATAGCACATTTCCAAGGTAAATTATATCAAATTTTTAGGACTTCTCTTGGATGAACACCTTTATTTAGAATATCATCAGTGGCGGCACCACGGGGAGGACCGGGGAGGACCGGGGAGGACGCGTCCTCTCCATTCGTCGGCGAGACCGATTCTCTAATTATTTTACATTCAAGGAGAAAATATTTGGGGGGGGGGGTAAGGTAACACAATTTGTTAAGAGCTTCCTTCAACATATGTCTTTATCACTCGTGTATTGTTTGATCGCCCCCTTCCATGTTTTAGTCAGTGGCGTAGCGTCCGGGTATTCAAGGTATTCAGTGAATACCCTGAGATTTCTGAGAAAAAATATTAATACGACGTAAAATTGTAATAACTAAAAAACGCTTTGGGGCTATTGATTCTGGTTGAATTTGTTGCCTTTGATATGCTACATTTTGTACAAGTACAAAATATCACGAAATTCATGGAAACAATAATTCTGGGAAGCTTAAGGCTGATTTCCACGAGGCGAATTTCGCAGCGAAATTGCCGATGAAGGC